GTTAAAAGAGCGGACTGCTGTTCTCTTCCTTTTATCAGAGGAACTGACCACCCAGCTAACCATATTTTCTAGCCTCTCTTGCAGAAGGTTGTAGCCATGTATTTAAGTTAAGGCCAATGGAATACGGACACAAGTGATGAGTGCAGCTTCCTTATACTCTCCTGAAAGGCAAAACTACTTGCCTTAATTTTCTCTCCCCTCTTCCATGTGACTGAAAAAGTCACCTACAGCAGGAGCCTTGTCACCCGTTGCATCTGGCAATGACAGTTAATCATGGAACCATGCTGTCTACCAACCCTAAGCTGTATTTACCTTTGAATTCTTTTCTGCAAGAGAAATAAACTTTTTTAAGCTACTGTATTCTGGATGTCTCTATGATCGGATTCTAGCAGGTACCTAAGTATGTCATATGCTTTAGGGTAAAAAGAATTATTATGGTCACTTCATCAAAAACGTAAATTTTGAATTTGTATGCACCACATAATATAACTTCAAAATTAAGTAAAATAAAAATTGATAATTATAAGGACTGTACTCCTGTAGACATAAATATGAAAAGGTAAACTCTAATACTTTTAGAAGACTTTAAAAATATTTTTATGACAGGTAGGAAAGAATTTCCTACACAAGGCAACAAAAAGCACAAACCTGAAAGGAAAATATTGATAATTTTTACTATATTAGAATTACTTTATGGGGCGTGTGGTGGCTCAGTCGGTTAAGCGTCGGACTTCGACTGAGGTCATGATCTCACAGTTCGTGAGTTCGAGCCCCGCATCGGGCTGTGTGCTGACAGCTCAGAGCCTGGAGCCTGTTTCGGATTTTGTGGCTCCCTCTCTCTCTCTGCCCCTCCCCAACTCGCGCTCTCGTGTGTCTCAAAAATAAATACACATTTTAAAAAATTTAAAAAAAAAAGAATTACCTTACATTACATTGATTTCATGAATAAAAACTCATTATCCAAAGATGTTATTAAAAATGAATTTTAGAAACCACAGGCCAGAATCCTCACCAACTGTACCAAGTTGGAACTGCCACTACTATCACGGATTTCACCTCATTGCTGTTTGCAAGATCCCTGGTGGATGTAGTTTAAAAATTTTGAATAGCCAAGACTTCACTCAGTTATTGGCACAGTCTGTGAAGCATGGCTTTGAGACAGTATACGAGGTTACTAAAACATGTATGCGCATAAGCTTTGTAAAGCGTCCAGGAGCAGGACACTGGCACCAGCGTGTGACTAGCACCCCCTGCTGGGCTGAGATCCACTTGCATGCTCTCCTCCAGTGGCTGTATCAAGTCCTTATTCAGATGGGTTCACCTCACAATCCTGTTACATCTGAGTCTTAAATGGCCTCAGGCTTCTGCCTCTTGAAAACTGTTGAGCCCCTCCTGTACCTGAAGGATGGATGAGGCAGACGTGATCGAGAACCCACAAAGGAACTTTGATGATCCTTGACCTCTGTGACCAATTGTTGGATTTGGAGATGAAAGCAAAACAAAACAAAACAAAAAAACCTTGGTAACATACTGTCAGTACCAAGAACCTGTTTAGTTTACGTTGTAATTCTACAGTCAACTAAAATGTGTACTTTTAGCAGAACTTTGTGTATAGTTAAAGGAGAGATGGCCAAGCCAGGGACAGATTACCTATTTGAGAAACGGTCCTAACAGATTCTTTTGTGTTTGGCACTTTAAGGTCATCGTTTGGCAGAAGTTTAGCATTAATAATCTTTCTGAAGTGTGTTTTAATCAGGTTTAGAACCCATGTTGAGTCTTCTTTTCATGGGTTTTCATAATATTTCTAAATTATTTGTTTAATAATTTTTTTAAGTTTACTTTTATTTATTTTGAGAGAGAGAGAGCGAGAGAGTGTGAGTAGGGGAGTTACAGAGAGAGGGGGGGAGAGAGAATCCCAAGCAGGCTCCGTGCCGTCAGAGAAGAGCCCTGCATGCGGGCTCCATTCCATGAACCGTGAGATCATGACCTGAGCTGAGGTCATGAGTCAGATGCTTAACCGACTGAGCCACCCAGGCCCCCTGGGTTTTGTTTGTTTTTTAAGTAAAGGTTAATCTTGCTGATTAAAAAAAAATAGGCTAAAAGAAGATATAGACAGTGTATATAGCTGCCTGGAATAGTATGCAGATTATGTAAATATCATCTGTGAATCAGTAAGCTGAAGACAGCCCAAAACAAAGAGATGATAATATGAACAAGCACTTAATAGAAAAAACCAGTAGTCAGCTAATGTTTGAAAAGATGTTCTCTCTTGCTAGAAATCGGGGATATATATGTTAAAACCGCAGTGAAATACCATTCACACCCATGAAATTGTCAAGCATGGAAACAATACCAGTTGAAGTGTTGATGTGGGAGGAGCATTGGAAGCTCTCATATAAAGAGAGTAGGGATATAAATTTAGCATTTATTCAAGTTGAAGATATGTCTACAATACAACCCAGCAATTCTGTTCCTAGGAATATGTTTGACAAATTCCTGCATATGTATGTAGGAAATATAAAGGAGTGTTCAAAGCAGCATTGTTATAATAGCAAAAAGTTAAGGAAAAAAAAACCCTTGACTCTCCATCAATAGGGAGAATGAGTAAACTGGCACTTCTGTGGTAATGAACTAGATCTCTACATATCCACGTATGGGTATGGAAGAGTCTCATGTAGAGTATTCAGCAAACGAAAAAGGGCAAGTCACAAACGTGTACTTTAGCATGTGCACATACAAAGTTTTAACAACATGCAAAACAATACATATTGCATACAGATTCCACCTGTGTAATAAATGTATATGAGCTTTTTCAATCTATGCAATAGGTGCTTGTTGGTCATTGCTCTATCCTGGCGATAACATGGCACTTGAGGTGTAGAGTAGCAATAGGTTATTTTTTTTCCTGGGGAGACTTCCCAGAGGTAGTGACTGTAAATTGGGTGATGAAAAATGAGCATGGGTTTTCAAAGGAGAATTCATGCACTGAAATTAATGTGCTACAGCTCACAGAAGAGCTGCTCCAATATTCACTTAGAACCTTTTGATTTATTTAATATAGATTTTTTTTTTATTATTTAATATATAATTCTAATAAACTGAGTTGGTTTGTAATCCATGGCAGATTAGACTGCCAGAGGCCGATACACAGGTAAATGAGAAATGATAGCCAGCTGTGAGGTATAAAGGCAGGGCAAACCACCAAATGCTTGCATAAGAATTAAAACCAAAAGTAGGGGGCGCCTGGGTGGCGCAGTCGGTTAAGCGTCCGACTTCAGCCAGGTCACGATCTCGCGGTCCGTGAGTTCGAGCCCCGCGTTAGGCTCTGGGCTGATGGCTCAGAGCCTGGAGCCTGTTTCCGATTCTGTGTCTCCCTCTCTCTCTGCCCCTCCCCCGTTCATGCTCTGTCTCTCTCTGTCCCAAAAATAAATAAACGTTGAAAAAAAAAATTAAAACCAAAAGTAGTCTAAGGCTAAATATAACATAAAGGCAGTGAATCATATGCCCTGGTAACTCTAGATAGCAACATATACTATGCTGACGATGACCTCAGGTTATCTAGACGTTTATGTTTCAGTTCAAGAATTCAGGAATATTTTTGATATATATTTGCAATGATAGTCATAACATTTTTAAAAAATATTTGGAACTTAAAGGAAACCATTTTTCTGTTCTGCAAAGTTAACCTGTTTGGAATAGCAAATTTCTAAAGTATGCCTAGCAAGTAATGTATTTCTGTATTTCGTTTATTCAGCATACATTCCTTGAGCACTTATACATGTGTTAATATATTTATGCTTAGGAAAAATAGAAAGTGCTAATTTGGCTGTGTGATCTCTGCTGTGCTTGTATCGTTTTGAAAATTACAAAAATTAGAAGTATAAATAACTAAAAACTTTTGGATTTAAAACTTCAGGTGAGAAGTATGATAATAGTATATGCTTTTATGGATTTCCCATAGGCTTCTTGGAGTATGTATTAAAAGATTTTGAAAAGTTAAATCTCTTTAATCTTGTAATCCTAATTCTAAATATTTATCTTGAGAAAACAAAGAAAACTAAGGAGAATGCTTTAAAACAAATTTTTTTTAAATGTTTACTTATTTTGGAGAAAGAGACAGAGACAAAGCATGAGCAAGGGAGGGGCAGAGAGAGAGGGAGACACAGAATCCGAAGCAGGCTCCAGGCTCTGAGCGGTCAGCACAGAGCCCAACATGGGGCCTGAACTCACAAACTGCAAGATCATGACCTGAGCCGAAGTTGGATGCTTAACTGACTGAGCCACCCAGGCACACCAAGGAGAATGCTCTTAAATGATGTTTACCTGGCATTATTGACAGTAATGAAAACCCTAAATATCCAGTAGCAAAGAATTGGTTAACTTATGTTATATTCATCCATCAGAATTCTGATTTGAGGATACTTAATGACAGAAAAATACTTACGTAGGTTGGTAAATTGCAAAAATAAAAAATAACAAAATGGCTGGAGGAAAATATGCCAAAATACTAGGTGACTAAAGTAATGGGATTAGAGGTAATTGCCTTTATCCTTTTTATTCTTTACTCTGTTTTCCAAATTTTCTAAAGTAAACATAGTAACTGTTATAACTGCAAGAAATCAAGTGCAATTTGCAAGATAGCATGTATTTTCCATCTTAGAATACATTTTTTGAAATCTATTTTTATCTTGGAAGATCATTACTGACCATAGTCGTCCTTTTGTGGATACGGTCAATAACCAAGACTTGAACTTTGTTTGAAGCCACAATAATGAAATATAATCAATATAGTAGGATAGAATAGAAATTATATAATTAATATAATTTACCATTTATGATTTTAACTCATTAAAAATGACATTTTTATGCATGTTCTTGTCTCAAATGGAAGAAATAAATGGAAACACATATGTCACTGACACCGTAGAAGCAAACTCACAGAGATGAAATGGAGAATCTGCGTGTGAATAATGCTCTCTTTTGCTGTCGTGAATTTTCAGTTCTTCAGTGGGTAGTGCGCTCCCACGAAGACGCTGCTGTGCATATATTACCATTGGAATGATCTGTATTTTCATTGGAGTTGGATTAACTGTGAGTACTACTCTACCTCACTGTTAGAATTCTTTCTTCTCAACTTTATCAGTAGTAAATTGATGAGGCCTGAACCTTCAATGATCCCCAAAGAGCTCCCCGGTGTATTAGGCCTGGAAGCTTCTGAAGGCCTGTGGGCAATCTGAAGCCCACTCCGTGGGCCTGTTTTTAATGGAGCTTGCCCATCCTGTGAAATAGTCTTTTGGGGCTCCTCTAAAGGTTGTTGACGTTGGGGACTTTACCACCCGTTTAACAGAAGGCCACTGTTTTTATTTAGTGCCATGGCCAAAGCAAAGGCAATACTCAATCAGCTACGAAGTTCTGAAAAACCATTCTCTTTGTTTCTATGAAGCACACATTTATTATCATTTTGGGGATGGCTTATTTTTAGAGGAGACTGAAGCTACATAGTTGGCATGAGGATTATTCGGTCCCAGGAGAAGGAGGAGTTACTGATCTTTTTTGTCTCCATTTACTTCCCATGCTCCTTTGTGTCCCCTCATCCCATATTATTTAAACACTCCTGTTGTGTCGTATAACACTACGGAGTTCAGATTACAGATTTAAATACTTAAAGTGGGCTTTTTTGTTTATTTCGTAATAATAATAATAATAAACTTCATCAAGTGGGCTTTTTTGTTTATTTCGTAAAATTTATAGTTGATGTAACTAACAGTATTGTCTTATTAAAATTTACTCTGTCAGTGATAGTCAACAAATTTGACAACTCATAGTTCATAGGGATTTTATGGCCTCCGGGATAGATTTCATAAAAATCGCATGTAAGCCTATACAAGATCTCTAAGCAGTGTTTGCTTAAAGTTTTTGATCTTTTATTACTATACTTGCTTTTTATTTTAGGTTGGCACCCAAGACTTTGCAAGGCGATTTCATGCAACCTATGTTTCTTGGGCAATTGCTTATCTCTTAGGTTTGATCTGTCTTATCCGAGCTTGTTACTGGGGAGCCATAAGAGTGAGTTATCCAGAACATAGTTTTGCGTAAGCTCGCTTATGATTCAGCGATGCAGGTGAGAGTATCTAGCAGTTCTTGATAAGCTACTCTGGACATCTTTAAATCATGTATCCTAATGGATCCCATTCTGGTTTATGTATAAAGTTTCAAGACTTTACGAGTATTTTATGAACAAATGCTCATTGCACTACATTATATGCAAATAGTTTGTTTTGCTGCTAGGGTTTCAAGCTCCGAATAATAAAAACTGTGTCTTCATCTTCTTTGACATCTCTTAAAGGTATTTTTGGATTTGTCACCAAACATTACATATAGCATCACCCTTTCGTTATTTTTGAATCAGTTATTCCATTACTTGCTGATCTGTGAGTATTCCCACGGAGTATTTATAAATGTTTCTACAAAAGCTTCACATTTATACTCACGTTTTAATTAAAAAGTGTCAAAATTGCTTGCTTTAAAATCTAAGCAATATGCATTTTGCTTGAACTGCTTACTGTAACTTTAACCTAAGATCATAGTGACCTTATTCAGGAAGAACAATTGAGTGTACCTTCAAAGACTTGACGTTCTTGTCAGATAAAAACCATTTCTAGATACTGTATGCTTGTTTTTTGTTGTTTGTAGAAAGATACAATATTTTGGTAGTAACTTAAAATACAAGAATGAAAATATTTATTTGTCCACAGTTGGAGATGATGTTGGATAAATGTTTTTTCTCAAAGATCACAGGAGTTTTGTCTTTCATTTTTGTCTGCTTTTTTATTTACTAATTATAAAAGTTCTGGTCTAGATTTATGAAACTTAATGTTAATCATCTGTATGTATTCCTTTATAGATGTTGCAGGAAGTATTTCACATAACATGTTTTATAAAACTAACCATTTAAACAAAGATATATTTACACTGGGTTGCCCTCCTTTTCATTAGATCATAATAAATTTTTCCTCTTTGGGCTAATTATGGACTACTTATATGAGAAGAGAGCCTATGACATTTTACACTAGCTAAAATGTGAAGATTAGAGGTAGTTACTCTTATCATTCTTTTCAAATATAGCTGGTCAGATAGTTACCCAATTTATTCCAGAAAGTAGATCAAAGACAAAAAGCAACATAGTTTTCTAAGAATTCACTAGGATTTAAGGAATCAGCTCTCGCACTGCCTATCTTTGCAGTTTTGAAAAAGAAATTGCTTAATTGAGAAGAAATGTTCTAAAGCCTTTAATGTAGTAGAATTAAGATGATGAGATGATATGAGTAAATTAATTGGCTATTCAAGAGGTAAGAATAATAAAGTATTTATGTTCCTGACTAGTATGAAAATGTACTCATCAGAGAATTTGGAGCAAAATACATGTAAACTTAAAAGAGTAAATGATAAATGTCTAAATGCCGTAGCTCAGGATTATATGTACCTTTGAAAATACACTAATAAAGATTATTGTTCAAATACTGCCTCGTTACATTCCATTTAAAAAAAAAATACAATGGTGGGGGGTGCTTGGGTGGGTCAGTTGTCTGTGCTGACAGCATGAAGCTTGCTTGGGATTCTCTCTCTCCCCCTCTCTCTTTGCCCCTCCCCTAGTCACTCATGCACTGTCTTTCTCTTTCTTTCTCTCTCTCAAAATAAGTAAGTAAACATTAAAAAAAAATTTAAAAAATAAAAATAAGATGGTGTTTCCAAAATAGATTTGAGTTATTACTCAAAGGCGTTTTCATGTTTAAGAACATATATAATGTCGGGGTGCTTGGTTGGCTGAATAGGTTGAGTGACCTACTTTTGATTTCGGTTCAGGTCATGATCCCAGGGTCATGGGGTTGAGCCCCACATCAGACTCCACATTGAGTGTGGAGCCTGCTTACGATTCTCTCTCTTTCCTCCTCTGCCTCTCTTGCCTGCTCGTGTGCTCTCTCTCTCTCTCTCAAATAATAAAAAAAGGAAGAACGTTACGTAATGTTTCTTCATCTAATATTCACTTATATTTTTCTAGTATTTTCATGGTTTCCTTTTAAAAGTATAGATTTAAAATCTATTTACAATGCACTTGGTGTAAGGTATGAAATAAGAATCTAATTTATTTCTTTTCTTAATGGTTAGTTGTACCTGCATTGTGTATTGAATAACCAACGCATTCCTTTCCCACTAATTTGAAACCCCACATTAAATTGTATGCTGCATGATCTTTTTCCTTTTGGAATATAATTCCACGATAGCAGGAACCTTGGTGATCTTGTTCACTGCCTTATCTCCAGCATTTACAATAGTGTTTAGTGTATTTGTGTTCAACAGATTTGTTGTATGGATGAATAAATGATTGAATAAATTAGTGTGTTAAATTCTTATCCCTTGGGTCTGGACTTTATATTTTGTTACAGAATATATAGGTGAACATTCATATAATCTTCTGTTAAGTAAAAACTTTCTTAGTAAAACCCCAAAGCAGAAATCATACAAAAGGATTGATAGATTGTATGATTAAAAAAAACCAAAAACACAAAACACTTCTGTGTGAAAAAAAAGTATAACGAAAGCCAAAAGATAAATTGTCTTTCTGAATTAGTAAGAAGAGTTAATCTTTGTAATATAGGAAGGGACTAAAGGCATGAAAAAAAACTATTCATGAAAGAAGAAATACAAAAAGTAATAACACATAATCAAAGTGAGTTAAAACATAGAAATACTATTTTTTACCTAGCATATTAACAAAGAATCAAAGAGTGATTAATCCCTGTAATGTTGAGGATAGGAGGAAGCACACACACACACACACACACACACACACCACACACAGTCTTTGATGTAGTTATTCTGTCTCTAGGAATTTATCCTAAAGGTGTCCTGGATAAAAGAACAAATATATTTGTACAATGATGTTTATCACATTTGTGTTCATACTAGGGATTAAAAGCAAGAAGTCCTTCAATTCAGGAATAAGGGATAGGTGAAATAAGTTATAGTACACTCATAGTATGAAATAATAAGTAGTCATTAACAAAATGATGAAATTTCTCATCTAATTGAATTGGCAATGGCTCATAAAACATTGTGTGACTAAATCAGATTACAAATCAATATGGACAATATAATCCACTTTTTGAAGAAAATGATTTTAGGTGTATGTGTTCAAAAAACTAAGGAAAATTAACACTAAAACATTAACAGAGCTTATTCCTGGGTGATGGAAGATAGTCCAACTTTTTAAAAGTTTCTGTGCCAGATTAACAGTTGGAAAGTTTAAGTTTTGCTCTTGATCAATAGATAAGAATGCTATGTGATGATCACGTTCCATTTTCATTTAGCCTCTTGAAGTTTTAAAATTTATTAAAATCCAAACCAATGCATTTCATTGATAAAATCTTAAATTTTAAAGTTAACCAATTATATATTTAGGCTAAGTCCTTTATGAACTAACATAAATTTTTAATTAATTAAATCCACATTTATGAGACTTTGTACCCAGTTTTAGTCAAAGTAGAGCATTTCTTCCAATACCTGGTACAGATACGAAACACACAAAGGGCTGGGAAAATGTTTTTTGCAAGAATAGATCATAGTCACTAATCAGAAAAGGATTCTTTTTGTCCCCTGCTGTCCAAAGGAGTAAAAGATGGCTTAGTTCTTCTTAGAAAAGAGGGAAACAATGGAACCACGATCAATTATTCTTGAGTAAGGCATTTGTGAGTGTGCATATGTCATTCAGAAGATCCTAATAATGCTGTGTGTCAGGTACAGGGCTGGCCTCACAGCACATGCCATTTAACAGCCACGGGAAGCCTAGGAAGCACATGTTCCCGTTCCTGTTTCACCAGAAGAAATTGAGTGTCACTCTCTCGTAGATGAGCATTTTAAGTAGGACAGGCATCTGCATTCAAAACAAGCACTCCTGGGTGGTTTTGGTGTAGTTTTCCCGGATCCTACTCTTGAAACACTGCCCTATACATTGCACACACATGTTTGCATCCACCTTCTTGGGCATTCACATTTCTTGTATAGAAAAAGCTTTCGTTGGATATGAGTAAATAACACCATTTCCTTTGTTTAGCTTTTGTTTTTAGTTTTGATTTAGCTATACCTGTGCTTGTATGTTATGAAATCATAACCTTTTCCATGTGCATAGTCTCACAAATTACTATAAAATGTAAATTTGCACTTATTTGGTAGGTTTGGTACACACGTACACATATATCTATATCTACGTATGATATAAGCACTGACGTAAAAACCCCTAGTGTTTACTGATCTGCCTTACATATATGTTGATACTAAATCTCTATGTCATAGTTATCATGACTCTACCACTGAAGAAGTTCAGAGTGGCTAAATAATTAAAGGTCATTCGGCTTATATGTGATGGCGCCCGCTGGAATCAAACAGTCTGTCTGCCTCCAAAATTGATCTACTTTCCAGTACAGCAGGAGATTTTATTGCGCTTTGCTCTGTAGAGAGTAACTTGAATTTTGTGCCCCCTGCTGTTCATTGTCTGTAACTCATTTGTGGAAAGAAAATTGAAAAATGTTTGCCCTCAGTATGTATTTCACAAAGAATAGAATACTTTTGTTTAAAAAATACTTTTATGAATTCGATGTTATATCCAGCTTTATTTAAGAGCATTTTATGTAACAAAATATTACATGTATTTATTTTCTTTATCATATAATATCATAAAACTAGCTAGGAATATCACCTACTAACTATGAGGAAATTGACAATGAATTTTAGTGTAACTTCTTTTAATACTGATAGCAATATTAAAATGATTGTTAAATAGCACAAGATGCTAAAAAGGGATTTGTGAAGGTTTTTAATTTTTAAAATCCATGTTACATGCTTTGTTCCAAATATAAATAAATACTGTTTCTTTATATTTTGATAAATACACATATATTTGACTTGAAGTGGAATACTATGTGAAAAGCAGAAAATAAGAAGCCTATATTCTTTTGGGACTGGCTCACAGACTAAGGTATCAGATAAAGCTACAGGTCTAAGAGGTGATTACGGTTTGTAATTTGCAGGTGAGAATATTTGATCTATGACAGAAGTAGCCTTTTGAGTTTTGACTGTGTAACTAAATTCATCTAAGGTAACTTGCTAAATCTGGGAAGTGGTCACTCACATTTCTCTCCACAAATTAAAAAAAAATTTTTTTTTTTAACGTTTATTTATTTTTGAGACAGAGAGACAGAGCATGATGGGAGGTCAGAGAGGGAGACAACAGAATGGGAACAGGCCCTCGCCTGAGCTGTCAGCACAGAGTTCTACTCCAGGGCCTGGAACTCACCTAACACGAGATCATGACCTGAGTCAGTCAGTCAGCTAACCCACTGAGCCACCCAGGCGCCCCTCATTTTTTTAAATGTTCACATTTGAAATTAGGTATGGCTTTATTGTTAAGATTTTTATTTATTTTATTTTTTTTACGTTTTGTTTATTTTTGAGACAGGGAGAGACAGAGCATGAACGGGGGAGGTCAGAGAGAGGGAGACACAGAATCCGGGAACGGCTCCAGGCTCTGGAACTGTCAGCACAGAGCCCGGGACGCCGTCAACCACGACCGAGAGATCATGACCTGAGCCGAAGTCGGTCGCTTAACCGACTGAGCCACCCAGGCGCCCCTCCACAAATTTTTTAAATACCTACCCTGAGTGGCTTCTGCATATGTGTCAGTGCTAGTGGTTGGCTACAGAGCTTCTGAAAGTTCCCAATGTTCCAATCAATTTTTCTGAAAATCCCTGATGCAGAGCCTGACATTTCTACATCAGCTATACCTTCGGCTTAAGATATTGGACATTTAAATATGGAAAAAATGCGTTACATTTTTATTGGTTTTTAAGCTTTTAGGAAGAGTAAGCTTGGGATACGTGTAGAGAATTCCTTAGCTCATACAATGCTTTACTTTTTTCCTGGCTTTTTCCTGAACACCTGCCTTACTCCTTCCTTTAAAAGATCCTCTCTACCTACCATCTG